ACGAAAACGCCACCCCGACGACCGACTACAGCCTTGAATGTAGCGGCTCGGATGAAACTACCGACGGGTCTCAACCGACCGTATCGACTTCAACATCGGGTTCGTCCAACCTGACTCCTACAACCACCACCACCCCTACCACATCCAGTAGAATGAGTGACCAAGCCTCGTCGTCGAACACTGTGACGTCCGCGCCATCAAGCGGGTTTGGAGACGTCGTCGACCAGAGTTCATCCCAGGCAGCTCAGACTCCGTCGGTGGCTTCGTCCTCCAACACAGCGCAGTCACCAGAATCCTCTTCGAACACGGCCCAATCTAACGCTTCATCTTCGAGGCAAGAAGGCTCCGATGTCACCCAAACCTCCACTAACAGCACCAGCAGCGGTGAACACGCCACCTTTGGAGCGGTGACGTTCAAACCCGGCGAGTGCATCATTGGCAAGCCCGATAAATACCGATATTTCGTGGATTTGGGAAAAGCGAATTGGTCCCGATGCCCCAAGACGCGACGCCAATTGGAACGTCATGAACAACAAAAACTGGATCATGGACCACATCGTCAAGAACAAGGGTAAACTCAACTACTGTGTCCGATGGAGCAGTACTAAAACGCTCTCCAAGACCGTGGCTTCCAAGTTCAAAGCCATGCTTGAGCGTCAGTACGCAGCGTGGAACCACTGGCTTATCGGCTACGACTGCTGGTCTTTTAACGAGATCAAGATCAACATCGTTGGCTTCGCTGTGAAGGAGGCGTCGCTGCTTGATTGGTCAGACGATTCTCTTGGCGCGATTACGGTTGCGGATCTCGACTCGGATGGTGTTTCGCAATGCGATCAGAGCTGTTACCGATTCTACGACAATGGTGCCGGCTCATGGTCCGACACCAGTTCGTGCAAGGGCGAGCCGTTCGATATTTCCTTGTGGCCGAAGCAAGGTCTCGAAGGCGGCTTTGGCTATGACTGGGGTCAGGAGGTGAATCTGGAGAATATGCTACAGACTATTGACGAGGAACAACTTGTCATCGTGGCCCACGAAATCGGCCACGGTTTCGGACTTCCTGACTTTTACGAGGAAGCGGATAAGCCCAATGACTAGTGGCTTAACTGTATCATGATGGCGGGTAGTTCCATGACCGTCACGGATAGCGACGGCTGGATGCTGCGTCGTGTCCTCGAGCACTTGAAGCCTCGCTATAACTTTTAAGTGGATAGAAAACTGCGTGTTGTGGTGCTCGTGCAGTGTATTTTACCTGGGTATTTCGAAGAACGTTGTAAAAGAACTTTAAAATTGATGTTCATGATAGTATCACACACGTTCGTGATAATAGCACAGCAAATCTCTACTGTTATATCTAGGACAAAGGTCGCAATCGTATTTTCCGGCGAACCATGCCCGTTCGAAAGCCGTAATTATCAAGTTTCGGGTGACCATGACCAATAATTTACAGTGATGTTACCCGAGGCCGACACAAGCAGCATTCACCTGGGAGACATCACTGGTACAGAGCATGATCAGTTTTACATTACAATTCTTCTGAATTAAAGTAAAAATGCTGTTTCTGAAATGACACGTTTAGAGAAGAAAACCCACTATTTTGAATACGACAATCCAATGTAGAGCATTGACTCGCCTGCTTGAACTGTGGAAACTCTGGAAATAAAATACAGAGAATGACCCCAAGATGACATCGATGTCGATTTGTCATAAACGACCACGAGCGCCTCGATTTA